TGACACTTAAAGCTATTGCCATCATTAGTTTGGGGGTCAGGGATGGGCATAGAGGTGGCCACAGGGGTGGGCATCGGGTGCGCCACCGATTGATGGCTGTGAAGCTCAATTTCTGTGCTATACTGGAAGTGACATTTGTCGCACGGATAGCGCTGATCGGCCGACCACTGCACCCATGAGTGCACGTACTGTAGATGAGTGAACAGTAATGATTGCGATGTGAATGTCTGCCGACAGTAAATGTTTGGACACGGGATCAGGTCTGGTGAGGCTTTCTCGGTGGTGGTGGGCGTGGGCTTTGGGTGCGCCACCGCTTGATGGTTATGAAGCGCGAGTCCTGTGCTATACTTGTGGTGACATTTGTCGCACGGAAAGCGCTGATCGGCCGACCACTGCACCCATGAGTGCACAGACTGTAGATGAGTGGACAGTAATGATTGCGATTTGAATGCTTGCCCGCAGACAATGTATGGACACGGGATCAGGTCTGGTGAGGCGTTCTCAGCGGTGGTGGGCGTGGGCTTCGGGTGCGCCACCGCTTGATGGCTGTGAAGCGCGAGTTCTGTGCTATACTTGAGGTGACATTTGTCGCACGGAAAGCGCTGATCGGCCGACCAATCGACGTATGAGTGGTCGGACTGCATATGAGTGGCCAAAAATGATTGGGTGTTAAATGTCTGGCGGCAGCCAACGTAAGGGCACGGGTGCCACGGGATCAGGTCGGGTGCAGTTGTTCTGGCAGTTTTAGCGGCCAATCGTGGATCTGCGGGCGCCTTACGCTTCTTGACCACCCGTATGCCGGGCGCGATGTCACGGATTAGCTCATTGCCAGCGCTCGTCAACGTTATGACCGATTCGGGCGCTCTGATAGACATAAACACATTAATGATATATATGATAAAAACTATAAGAGTTGAGACAATACTTGTTGACTATTTCCGGCACCAGAGGTATGGAGTCTATGAGCGATGGCTTGATATCAACGGGCGATCGGTTACGTGCGGGCCGTTTGGGCGGAACTCTACCAATGAGTTCGATATCAGAGTCCGAATCACTTGAGTGTTAAAGAAATGGTGTAAACATTACATAAAACACAGACACAGACTCATACTTATTGTACTTAATGTCCAGCCATTGTCTGTCGGCACTGGAAGTAGTAGTGGTTGTGGTTATTATGTGTGGGAATGTTGTACTGATTGTTGAGCTCTGAGATTGATATTTAGTATCGGAAGTGCTTGTTATCGATGGGAATGTATGACTAGTGGTAGTGATTGTTGGCCTCAGTTGATGGCCATCGGATGAAGTACTGTGTGGTAATAAATGTAAGTAAAAATTTTTTAATGTCTTAAAATTCACACAAAACCCATACGTATTGCAAGAGTTGTCCACCGATTGTCTTTTAGCACTGGAACTAGTAGTGAATGTCGTTATTGTCAGCGACAGTGAAGTACTGATGACTGGTGTCTGTTGTCTGTCATCGAGTGCTGCACTCAATGATTGGTGTCTGACATGAGATGATTTGGCGATCGGTTCCCCGGACTGTGCGCTGCCATCGATGGCATGTCTTCGGCTTATATGCGAATCCAATCGACTCTGAGTGGGAAAACATTTGTCGCATCCGTCGTAATGGCATTTGAATGACTTTTGGCGGACAAACGACTCGAAGATCGACTCGTAAGTCAACGATTGGCTGCAAAATACACAGACAATTGTCACTGAAATCAGATCCAGAGGGCTATAGAGGGTGGTGTGGAGGGTAGGGGGCAGTACTGGGCGTTAGGGTAGGACTCCATAGGCGTCCATACCTGTCGTCCGGCGCCGAAGACATCGGTAAATGCGAGACACGTATGGGTTTCGGACAAATGGCCAGAAATTCACTCAACGAGACATCATTTATAATCACTTAATTTATTAATTAAAACTTTAAACAAAACCATAAATTAAATGCAAATATTTATTATAACTTTTAATTAATTAAATTATTTTTAATAAATTTTTTACATTCAAATTGTGTACAAAATATGTTTTTTAAACCTCTTATTGCATAACACGTGGGGTTTGTATTAAAATTTGACCATAAATTAAGTCCATTTATTAATGTTGTATTCATTGCCCCTTTTATTATAAAGTATAGTAAAAATGTATTGAATTCAAAGCAATTGTTTCCTAAATACAAAACATTATTTATGTTATTGTAATACTGTTTACCATCGATATAAAGTACTGTACAGTCTACTGCCGTTATTTAAATTTTATTCCGATTTATTATTGCGGAAAATTAATTAGATTAACATTAATGAATTTAAACAAATGTGCATTTAAATAAAAAAAACCTTTTGTTTAAAATAACTGCAATTTTTTGAACGCTTTCAGGATTTAAAAATTAATAAACTATTGATTAATCAATAAAAGCGATTAATTGTATTTAAAACAACTGAAAAATTAGTTTAATTTGCATTTGATATGTATTTCCATAGCTTTCCTCACATTTATATTTGAATTGAGTTTTGTTTTCAAATGCTTTGGAAATACTTTTCATAGGATTTAGTTTCTTATCAAACGATAGGAATGTTTATCCCTTTCTATCCATTCGTTTGCATTCAATACCCGTTCAGTCGTTGACAACACTTAACAGAGTATAAGTCGTAAACATTTTCAATAAATTTTTTAAGTTTGAAAATTGATATAAAATTAACTATAATTAAAAGTTAATGATAAAATGTGTTCAAAATGGGCTTAAATTATGATCAAAATCAATATATTTGTGGCCAAAGAGGAGTGAAATGAAGAGTTTGAGTGATTTTCAGCACATTTTATATCGAAATGCCTTTCAATTTATAGTGATTTTAATAACTGTTTATTCAATACTTAACTATCGGTTACTAACGATATATCGGAAATGAATATCTATTTTGATATTTATTAACATTTATTTCAAATACAGACAGAAATTGTGAATTCAATTGAAAAAGCGATTTATAAATCACAGCAAATGAATGGCAAAACACAACACAAACACACATTTCTCACAATTATTTCCTTTCTTTGTATTAGATTTGAACGAAAGGAAAGTTTGCCGTCTTTTCAATCATTAAAACCAACTTTACTTTCATTCACAATAAATATCTAACCCTTTAATCGTTAGCACAAAACGTAACACTAGTTTTCACCCAAAAACCCATTCAAAAACACACATCACTAT